TGATCTTACATAAGATGCACCTGCGGGGAAAGTGTCGGCTGCAGGTGACTAACAACCCAACACAAGGAAGATAAATTTCCAAAGCAGCTCTTGATTATTTTTAGCCGCTCACGTCTGCACCGCGCGGCAGACGTCAGCAGCTTTGCCCGGGAGCACGGAATCAGGCAGTGAGCAGCAGAACGCGGGCCAACTCAGCACACCACAAATCTGGTAACAGCCTCCAATCTGGCCAGCTCGTAACATGGTGCCAGGTGTGTGCTGGCACTTGACACCCATTTACGTAGGTGCGTTCGGAAACTTCCTTTGGAATCCTCACATTAGCCGGGGTAGAAAGCGGGGATGTGTTTGTCAGTTCTTTGGCACTCTGCTGAACCGTGGGTGGGATGTGGAATGCGGTGTGCAGCTAGCTACACCCGTTTACGAAATGCTGGCATAAAAAAGCTGTTTAGTTGGCTGTGTGTTTAGACATACTTTTTTGCTACAGCGTTATTTTATTATTTGGATAGGGTAGAAAGGGGGAAGGGTGTGGTAAATAGTCTGCCTTGCGCTTTGAAGGTTATGGGTTAGTTTTATGTGATGTTCAGTTGACAAGCGTAGTTTCTATGGAGATATCTAAAAATGGTTGCTCGAACTACAGAGCTCGTGCTTTGTGTGGCGCTGTCGGCAGGTGGCTAGCTGTTCTGAGGAGAGACGGAGCCAAATGAGATAAAAACCGGTGCAATGAAGTTGATCAGTTGAACTTTAACTATAACTTTCACGAAAGGGGGGGGGGGGGTGTTCAAATCCAGAGATTAAAAGATCAGATGCATGTAAATACAGAGAGAATAAATGGTGTGACATAATTTATAGTATTGAGATCTGGGAGAAATAAGCAAAATCCGTGAATCAAGATACGAGAAAAGGTCACTGGCATTGAGCAATTTAGAAATTGAACACACACAAGCATTCACACACACACACACACACACACACACACACACACACACAATAATAATAATAATAATAATAATAATAATAATAATAATAATAATAATATAACAATAATGGAACTAGAGCAGAACTTACAAAGCTAAAGAAATAAACGAAGATGCCCACTGACTCCTCGCTCTCCCTCCCTCTGTTTCACGACAAGACTAGTAAGTTCTGACATGAAACAAATGAGACAAAAGACTTGTACGAATGGGGAGGCAATGAACAAAACGACTTGTCACTAGCTGGTTGAGAGCTATGCTCTATTAGGGAATTTAGGAGCTAATAAAGAAAAGAAAGAGGTTTAAATCCGTGTGGTCACTATAGCTGTTTTATTTTGTCGAACTTGTTCTCTAATCCCTTTTTCTTTGCTCTCTATGTATGAGTGTCGGCGTCTGTGACTTTGGCGTTGCAAACGAGCTTCGTAATGCCGGGGGGTCTGGTTCGATCCCAGCTGCCGGCCTTGCACCTTGCGTTGGTTTCGACAGTGGTATCGCGAAGCCGACCGTTCAGTAAACAACGGCAAACTACTAGACGTAAATTGGCAAGAAAAACCACAACAGCCAAACAATCTGCAATGTCCTGCAAAGGATACGCAATTAACTTGTTAACTATGTATGAGTACCTAACAAAACTGTCAATGTATTTGTCATACTGCATTACATGGACTCAAGTTGCTGACAACTGACCTAGTTAAAATAAACTGTAAATCGGACACAACAACGCTGTCCAACGTGGCAACTGAGATATGGAGAATTAGTCACAAAATACATGCCAAACATCACTAACGCTGTCGTCTCCTCCTTCTGCTTCTCACACTTTATTATTATGATTATGATTATGATTATGATTATGATTATGATTATTATTATTATTATTATTATTATTATTATTATTATTATTATTATTATTATTATTATTATTATTATTATTGCAAACTACCTTCTGCAAACTTTTCAAGAAACCATAAAAGCCATGAAAAATCTCCAGGTGCGTTATCGGACGCGTGACATCTTGCTTATGATCAAGAAGTTTTCCGGAGGGTTGTTTTGGGAGTAAGGTTCTGTATAGCACAGGCTTCTGACTGACTGATTACTAGTATTTTTATTTTGATCATTCCCGAAATCCTAAGCATTCTCCATTGCCTCCTCCTCCGCTTCTTCTTTTACGCTTGCATCTCCCCATTTCTATCTCATTCTCTTCCCCCTTATTATCTTTCACTCCCTAATCCCCATCATTTTTCTGCTCCTTGTCCAATTTTTTCTCCTGGTATTTGTTCGCGTCTCTTCGTCTCCTTCCTTTCAGCGTTTGTTTCATGTTTAGTAATTTCCTCATTTCAGCTCCAACGCAGTCACTCTTCTCCCCACTTGTGGGGGACTTGATTGCGCAGTAGCTACCCTACAAGCTCCCTGGCCGAGTTGTAACCCATTCGAATCAAAAACAATAGGAGATTTCCAGGGGCTTCAAAGAAAAGCAAAGTAAAGGACCTTTTTCCACACCGTTAGACGTATAGGGCTTGACCTATTTTTTATAGATCAATCTGCACAAGATGGGTCATGTGGTCAGCATCACGCCGGTTGCCTTTACTTCACAAGACTGCACCCCGAGCCACTCGAGGCTTGGTCGAACTGGGAGCCAGGAAGGGGCTTCAAAGATAAGTAGAAAGCAGTAGGTCCTTCGCGTGACTGCCGCATTTGGCATAATGGGCTCTATACAAGGCTTTTTTTTTTCCTGAGGTTACACAGTACCAGTACTTTTTCTAGGCTTCGTTTGTTTCGAGTCTACTGTACTAGACACTTTACTGTGAGTACAGTCACCTCTTTTAGACACTTTATGGCGAGTACCGGCACCTTTTTTCCAGATGAGGCTCTGGCTATACAAATATTTTACATGCCCTTCGACTCTTGATGGCTGATGTGGTCAACATCCAAATCCCTGCCTTTACTTCCCAAGAACTTTCTGTGTACCGATTTTAGCCAGTATCAGTTATAAATAAATCCACACCATGCGGATTTGAACCGAATGCCTTTGGACTGGCAGATATGTGTAAGTTTTCGGCCACATTAAAAAACACAACACTTCTTTTAGAACCATACTGGAGGGGAAAGTTGAAGGCAAGTGAGCAAAATCTAGACAGCGATACAAGTGGGAGGACAACACCAAGAGAGGGGCGAATAGCAGTGAGTAAAAAAAAACATGAGACAGAAAATGTTGGAGATTTTATTCAAAAAGGTGCCGTCTCCACATTGAAGGTTGGTGCAATGGGTCTCAAACACTCTTGTTGTCTCTTGTCCTGGGAGTGCCAGTTCTCACACTGCTGTTAGTCCATCTCTTGATGTTGCTCCGCCACTTGTATCGCTGTCTACCTCTTGCTATCTTGCCTTATGGGAAATAAAAAACGACCTGACATGATGCTAGTCCCATCATCCATTGAGTGCCGACTGCTGTTAAAAAAAAAAAAAAAAATTAGTCGTGCTTCCTTTACAGGATGTTGCAGAACCAATCCTCGCCTTTTTTGTTCTTCTGTTTGTGTTTTACTATGTAGTTTTACCTTCAGCATTTTACTATTCTGTAATTTATTTATTTGTCTACGGGTGGGGGGGGGGGGGAGGGGTCATATAATGAGAAGAAGGAAACGGGATCACGCTGTAAGCCACTTGAAAGATCTGTGGGAAGACGAGCAGAAAGAAAAGATAATGAGAGAAGATTCTTGACAGTCTTTTTATCGTGGCATGGAGCGGTTTCAGCACATGAAATGATGCCTGCTGTTGAAGATCTTCGATTGGGGGAGAGGCATGATTGCCCGTGCCAGTCGGTGGGGCTCTCGATGATAATGTTGATGATAATGATGATGATGATGGTGTACATATGTTTGCTTACTAAATGGTCGGTTCTCAATACCCCTGTCGAAATCAACACATGACTTTCGGCTGCCTAATCGCCAGCAGCTAGAAATGTTATCATATCTGTCGTCGTAAATCGCGGTGTACAAGTCAATCTCAAGATGTTTAGCTGGAAATTCCCAGTCAGGGCACTACCTGCTTGATACATGTTGTACCCGTCGTATAAGTCGAGCCGTTTTTAATGGGCATATTTGTAGGCTTGAAAATGTGACCGACACGGCACAATTTACGCAATATTTGGTTAACGTGGCAGAGCCGCCGTGGTGAAGCAGATTTAAAGGTTGTGGATTCGCACCCGAAAGGAGCCAGCCTTTTTTTTTAAGACATTGTCCCCAAGGTCGATTGGGTACAAGATACAATCTTAGGAAGTAAAGGCGGCCAGCGAGATTTTGACGGCATCACCCAGCGAATGCCGATCGGCCTATAAAATAAAGGTCTAGCCCTATAAACGCAATAGGTCTGAAAGCTTGGACAAGGGTCATTTTCTTTACTTTAGTTTAGATAGACATTTGACACATGGCTGGATATTTTGTTTACATAACGCTAGTGCTTTATTACATCAAATGTGACAGTGGCTGAATATTTTGTTTACATAACGCTAGTGCTATATAACACCATATGTGACAGTGGCTGAATATTTTGTTTACATAAAGCTAGTGCTATATAACACCATATGTGACAGTGGCTGGATATTTTGTTTACATAACGCTAGTGCTTTATTACATCAGATGTGACAGTGGCTGAATATTTTGTTTACATAACGCTAGTGCTATATAACACCATATGTGACAGTGGCTGAATATTTTGTTTACATAAAGCTAGTGCTATATTACACCATATGTGACAGTGGCTGAATATTTTGTTTACTTGAAGCTATTGTTTTCACCATATCTGACAGAGGCTGAATATTTTGTTTACATAAAGCAATTGCTATATTACACCATGTGAGACAGAGGCTAAAAATGTTGTTTACATAAAGCTATTGTTTACACCCTAGGTGACAGTGACTGAATGTTTTGTTTATGTAAAGCAATTATTTACACCATATTTTACATGCGGTGGAAATTTTTTTTACATAAAGCAAATGTTTACAAAATATTTGATACTGTAGTTTTCTGTTTGTTTCAGTCTCGCCTGAGAGAGTTGGAGGACGCCTTAGACAGTGAAAGAGAGGGCCGCCTCAGGGTAAGTACATACATTTCTTCTTCTTCTTCTTCTTCTTCTTCTTCTTTTTCTTCTTCTTCTTCTTCTTCTTCTTCTTCCTGTGATCGTTTTCTGATTTACCCTGACAGACAAGTTCTTGCGATAACTTGACTGTTTTTAGGAGTTTCTTTTTATTTCCATACAAATTTCAGCTGAGCCAGTATTCCCTTCTTAATTGGCTGTACAGGGGACATTCTTGCAGGACATGTTCTGTAGTCTGCACACACACAGCCCACAAGAGCACAGTGAACTACTCAGACGAAGCTTGTGCATATGCTTGTTAAGTTTGTTATGTCCCGTCCTGAGGCGTAGAATAATCACCTGCGCATACAGGTCAAGTAAGTGGTAGTCATCTCTGGCCAGATTCTGCTCACTTCTGATAGACTGGATGGTCCTTTTCTTAACTACCATAGAAAAAAATGTGAAAACATTTTTTTTATATTTAAATGGTCTAACAAGGCAGATCTGAATCAGAACTGTTTCGTTGACAACTCCCGGTTGTCAGTGTCAAACATGGTCCCTTATTAGAACCGTTTCTTCTTCTCCTTCATTTCCTCTTTTATCACTTCGGGTGTCAAGGGAGCTATAAGGTCCTGCTTCCTACTCTTCTGGCCGCCTCAACACATCATACTGTTGTAGTTTGTCTGATGTATTTCCATCTTGAATGCACGTTATAAACCATTAGTACTCTGCCACCAGCACGGACAGCTGATAAGAAACTGTCCGCCTGTGTCGCCGATGGCATGCAACTCCGTAGCTACAGTGAGGTTCTTCTATTTACCCCAGAGTGTTAAGAGTGGTACCCATTACCTAGAGGCTGGGTGAACCCCGAGAACCTCCCGGTTTCTAACACCAGCCGTGGGCTGCAGCGAGTCTCAGCTGGATTTAAAAGCGAGTCTTCTATCGACTGCGCTAATGCGGCCCCTTGTATGGTATCGCGTCACAAAGCGTTTTAAGTTAACATGCATTTGATTTACTGTCTTTGTATGGAATTTAGAATTGGTTCTCTGCCTACTTTTTTTTTCTTCTGACCTCAATCCTGATTTTTATCTATTTTGATTACTCCTGCAACCCTTCTCATACATCTCATTTCATGGTTACTAAGTTGCTTTTCTAGTTTGCTGTAAATGACCATGTCTGGCACTAGTAGCATAGCATTGTTATGAATATGCTTTGTATAAGATGTTTCTTTGTGCTGATCGAGATTGTCTTTTGCTATGAGAGAGAGAGAGAGAGAGAGAGAGAGAGAGAGAGAGAGAGAGAGAGAGAGAGAGAGAGAGAGAGAGAGAGAGAGAGAGAGAGAGAGAGAAGGGATGGGGGTGCCCTGATACCAGCTGTCACAGAAAGATTCACTTGAAGTTATAATGCACACAGAACTGGACCACGAACAAGATGAAACGTGGGTACAAAGTAAATAAATCAAGATAGACTTATACAGCCCATTACAAAGACCACACAGTCAATGTGGCTTTGCGCCCCCCCCCCCCCCCCCCCCCACACACACACTTTGACGAGGTAACTGAAGGAAGTGAAGAAGTTTAAGTAGTCATAATGTTTTACAGTGAATAAATAAAAGAGCGGCTCTCAACTAGCTCAAAATGGGGTGTAATGTTTTAATAAAGGCATTAATGAAATTTGTATCAAAGCTCCAGTTTGTTGAAGAAGGGTATTATCATATATTGTGAACATGGAATGGTATTATGACAGATGGGGCGTGGGCGGGGCGAGGTGGGGAATGGCTGACATATGGTTAATGTGTTGGCATATAAGGCGGATATCGTCAAAGCTGTATGGACTGGGCTAGTGGATAACGAGGAATCCCTGACACTACCGCGATTGGGTGACATGGGAGTAAAGCACGTCTATACTGTTTTCGAGGCCGGGATAGGTGACAACATATCCAGCTTCTCGTGAGAACAATTAGTAGACATACCTTGGAGTGGCGCTGCATCGGAGGACTGAGCCCAATGTGCAGTGACGTCGACTGTGATAATATAACATAACATAACATAACATGGAAAAAAACACTTTAAAGCAATTTGTTGTTAATTTACAGCGCTATCCCTGCTGTCGTCGGGGCCCTAATATAACCTAACGGTTGAACGGGGTTTCTGGGACTTGCGCCCAGGTAATTCTCATCTGTGTCGTGGCACTCTGTGTCAAAAGCACAGAATTCTTGTCATGACCCGAGAAGCATCTGACCTATAGTGCTTGTCGCATAGTTTTATAGAACAGCTTTCACTAGATTATTGACGGGATTAACCAGGACCGGTCTCAGCTGATGGGCCGTGCTGCTGACGTCACCGGGTGGGACTAACGATTTGTTAACTCAGCGGTTCTCAAACTGGGTGCCGAGGCACCCCGGGGATGACGTTAGCGTATGCCAGGGGATGCCGCAGCGATAATTTAGAAAAGCCGACTAAAAATTGTGAAATTCTTAACGAAGTCACGTAGATACTCAAAAGTTAAAATTTAAGTTGTCAACCCTCGCCACTGTCGAAAAAAGTTTATTTCTTGTTTCAAAACCGCTGCGTTAACGCATCATTAGCCCTATCTGGTGACGTCAGCAGCATGACCCGTCAGCTGAAGCCGGTCGTGGATTAACACCCCTTTTGCTGCCTTTCCCTGCAACAAAAGGCTAAGTACCCAAATTAGGCCAGTATTTTATAATGTCCAGGTTATTCTTTAAGATTAGCATCGACATACATTCGAACCCATGTCAACAAAACCAGTAGACTATGTGCTAGCCACCTCTCCACCAATGCCTTCTTATTTAGGGCTCGCGGTGGCAATTAAAGATAAAGTGAAAGATCATTTCCCATGGCTTCATGTGTACTGGGCAAATAGTGTAAAAACTCTATTTTATGAAGCAGTCTGAACTCTGTGGGCGATGTGGTCATCATCACCCTAGCCGCGTTTACTTCCCATGACGTTTGCCTGGTATCCATTTAGGTTTGGGTCCACCTAGGATCTAGGTCATTTTTTTGAAGAAAGACATAAAGTCCGGTTCCGTTCAGATTTGAACCCACACTTTTGGATCTACAGGTGAGCGTCAATGGTTAAGTAATGATTCACTTGAATGTTGTTCACCCACACAGGAGTGCAGGTTACACCAGGCTGGTGTAACTGTCAAGGCGGCCCCAATTATAACTTCTTCGGAGGTTGAATGGGGTATTTCAGATCTGCCCTGATGGTCTGCCATCCTTCTTGAGATATGACAATCTCAGGGTTGTCAAACCTTTAGGTAGCAGGCCGGAGAGGAGAAAACGGAGAAAGTGATTAAGATCCCTACCTCGCATTTTTTAAGTGGTTGCTTCGTCCATGAGTCTAATAAATGAATCGAGCCAATTGGAATTAAACTCGGTGCAATAACTTTCAGTTTTCTTTATTTTATACCTTCATATTTATTTATTTATTTCTGTATTTATTGATTGTCCATAGGCAGAAAAGCTTGTTGCAGAGCTGCAGTTCAGGTACGAACAAACACAAGACAGTCTTGATGAGCAGGGAAGTGTCGCGTCACAACAGGTACACTAATTGTGGTTCAACCGGGTCGCCGTGTTTGTGATGTTATATGGGAAAAATAAAAGATTTATGGGAAAGATGAACGGTTTATGGGAATATTAAGAGGTTTACGTGAATAATGAAAGGTTTATTGGAATAATGAAAGGTTTATGGGAATGATAAAAGGTTTGTGTGAATGATCAGAGGTTTATAGAGATGGAGAAATATGTATGAAAGTGGTGAACGATTTATGGGGTGATGAAAGGTTTATGGAAATAGTTAGGGGAGGGGATTTAAAAAAAAAAAAAATAAACAAAACAAATAAAATGTCAGCTATTTCTTTTAAAATTGCAAAGTGTATATTCATAATTTTAATTTAGGATCAGAGGTTCCGTTTCATAGCTTTGCTTTTAAAAAAATCGTCACGTTCATCCAGCAAAACCTAAGGGGGAGCTTTAGGTTATAATTGTGACTAGGTTACGTGTGCCATACAAAATGGCTTACCTTTGCTCGCCACCAAGAGCCATGAAAAGGTCGCCTGCAGTGTTGTTGCGATCAAAGGAGACAGACTCAAATACTGTCTAGACCGGCGACGAAGTCGTCCATCGGGGAGCCAATGGGCCACCCGGGGGCCAGTGGAATGCAGAGGTGTCTCACTGCACGTGTTTAACGGTGAGCCAGAACCAGGGCTCCGACTGGTCAAGAACCAAAGAAACCTCCAAGCAGCCATCGTTAAAACAGCTTTACTTCCGGGACCCTGGCCAACGTAGATAGCATCGACGCTTCCTTCTATCTGGCAACATCTGCCTGAGAGGCGAGAAACGAACAGTTTGCATACAATAAGTCAGATCTGTAATAAGGATGTACATGCAACACTCAAGTCCTGAAATAAAACCAAAGTCCACACGTAGACGGAAAACTAGGACACTACACCGGCGTTAAAAAACATCAAGCATTCACCGTCCTTTTTGGGACAATTTTTTTTTTTTTTTTGTAATTTGAAGCCCCACCCTGGCTCTTACCGGGGGCCGCAATATAGCCAGGCCATAAATATGGCCTAATGACTGAACGCGGTTTCTGGGACCTCTCCACGGTGATCCTCATCCACATGGTGGCACTTTATGTCATCGGGTGTTTATCGCCTGTGTGATGTCCTGGTGGGGTAGAAAGTCCGTCAGTCACCGGCGTTCACATCAGGCTAAATCAGACGACGACGAAGAAGAAAGTTATAAATGTTATTAGTCATACTGAACCTTCTTTAACTTCAAAATTGATAACAAGTGTAACTGTTAAAAACAAGTGAACACTTTCTATACTTAGGCTGAATTAAGAAAGCAGCGAGAGAACGAGGTTAGCAAGCTGAGGAAAGACCTCGAACTCCTCAGCGCTCAATTCGAGCAAACAGAGAGTAGTCTGAGGAAACGACATCAGGATGCTGTCAACGAGCTCACTGACCAGATTGAGCACCTGCAGAAGCAAAAGATTAGGTGAGCGTACCATACGTCAAATGTAATGTCATTTTTCAAATGCAATGTCACATTTTGTATATTTAAAAATAAACAAGTGTTTCAAGTGTCAAATACCGTGTCACAATTCACATGTCAAGTGTCAAGTGTTGTGCCATGTGTCATGACAGTTTCACGTATCAAATGTCACATGTCAAGTATCATAGCAAGTGTCAAATGTCATGTAATATGTCAAAAGACCAGGCGATGTCTATGTGTCTAATGACATTAGTCTTTCCTGTTACGCCTAAAGCATCGCATAGGGCAAAGATCATAGCTCTCCGTGTCTGGCAGTTCGTTGCCACCTGTTTTAGGTCTTGGATGTTTGTTAGATCCATGGTTGAGCCTTCCCTGATGATGGTTCTACGCAGTCTCACTTGGTCATTCCCGTTTGCCTTTCCTTTCCGATGTCCACATGAATGCTTGGTGGGGGGGAGTCTTGCCTTATCCATTCTCAGTGCATGGTCGATGTAGTTCCAGCGGCGCTTTCTTATAAAACTGGATACATTTTCTTGCTAGGTCTCTTGCCTGAACTGCATACTGAATCTGAAATCTGTCGAACTGAGATTTAGTATTCTTCTAAAACAGCGGTTCTCAACCTGCTGGTAGCGACCCTTTTTTTTTTTTTTTATGGTCGAACGACCCTTTCACAGGAGACTATCGTAAATCACTTATTCACCGAAGTTATGAAGGGAAACAATTATTTAAGGGTCGCCACAACATGAGGGAACTGTATTGAAGGGCGGCGGCATTAGGAAGGTTAAGATCTACTGTTCTAAAACATTTGTCTCACAACTGTCTAATTACATTTTTTCTAAAGCTATTGCTAACGTTGCTTTTCAACTCTCACACTCATAAGTTAGCACTGGAATCACACAAGAGTTGAAGATCTTAAGTTGTGTGTGTTTGCTGAGTGGTGTTGACTTCCAGATGTTTGACAGTTTGTTGAGGGCACTAAATGCCAGTTCGTTTCTAAATGATATTTCTGGTTACAAGTCCCCTATAGATGTCATCTTCATTCCTCTGTATGTAAAGCTGTTCACTTGTTCAGGAATGTGACTGTTTAGTTTAAGCTCGTCTGAACTGTTGGTAAGATCAATAATTTTTGTTTTTGCGATGTTAATTTGGAGACCAGTTTGTCCTGAGATACTATAAAGATGGTTTGTTTTCTCTTGGATATCTGGGTAGGTTGAAACTCAAAGCACTATGTCATCAGCAAAGTCAAGGTTTTTCTAAAATTTTGTCAACCAATTTGATGCCCAAGTGTGTGTTGTTTATGCACATGCGCATGACCTAATCGACTGCTATTTCAAAGAGCATCGGCGATAGGACACAGCCATGTTTCACTCTTGTTTCCACCGGGAACCAATCAGAGTTGCCGGATTCTGTTCTTACACTGCAACTTGTTTTATAGTTGGATGATTTCATAAAACTGATAAATCTGTAGAGAACCATAGATTTTAAGTAGTTTCCAAAGTGTAGGATGTTGAAATCTTTTTGGATATGTCAAAAGACTATATAATATATTTATGTCAAATGTCGTATATCAAAATAATGAGTTGCATTTATATATACGCATATACATGTTAAATGACATGTTATATATAAAAGACTAGAGGACGGACAGACAGAACGAAGAGTTTTTGTGCTACGTGTACATCTTCCATAACGTCAAATTTGAAGAAGAAAAAATTCATCTCAGTATTCAATGCTATGCGCTATTATTTCGTGTCACTTCCTCAATCACTATCAAGCAATGACACATTCTTTGGTTGCTGTCCGTTCCAGAGTCGAGAAGGAGAAACAGACCCTGGTCATCGAGCTCGATGGGCTTTCCGGTCAACTGGAATCAGTCAGCAAGGCAAAGGTAATTAGAAATACGCACATACACACACACACGCATGCTCGCACATACACACACACATGCACGCACATACACACACACGCATGCTCGCACATACACACACACGCATGCACGCACACACACATAATGGGCCACCTTGGTGTAGCGGCTAGACGTTCATCTGCGGATCGGAAAGTCGTGGGTTCGGGTTCTGACAGAGCCGGCCTTTTTTTCTTTTTAAAAGCAACCTTGGCTTCCAATCAACCCAGCCTTAAATGGGAACCAGGTAGACTCCTGGGAAGTAAAGGCGGCTGGCGTGATGTTGACAACATCACCACCTTCAATTAGTCTGTAAAAATATAGATCTATCTTTATAAGAGCACTACACCTGAATGCATAGTAAAACGCCCTTTACTGACACGCATATATAGGCGCCAGAACCTAGGGGCTTAGGGAGAGATCCCCCCCCCCTCCCCCCTTCCCACCTCCACACAGAAAAAAATATTTAGGGGCAGTGCTAATTTGATTGGGGAAAGGAATTGAACCCTGACCCCAGAAAATGTGCAAGTGCTTCCCGCTCATCATATATAGTCGTTTTGTTTTAAAGTATTTGTTTTTACATGTCATAATTTTTCAAATATATTATTAAATTTATTTGCCATCTGCACATAATAATAATAATAATTACTGCACACTTAAACAAGGCTCAATCCGATTCAGCCACGCAGTTTATTAAATTATAAGTCATCGTTCCACTAGTTCGTGATCTTCCTCTTGTTCATTATTTTCTGCAGCGAGGCTCTCTGAGGACAGTTGGTACCATGGCATTTTTGCCAGAAGACGAAACCATCTCATCTTCTTGTAACAAAGGCAACTCTTCTACAACATCTCCACCTTGCTGTTATGCTTCTGTGCTGAAACATTTATTATGCGTCTATTAGAGCACATTCCAAACTGAAAAAATTGGCCGTACAATTTACAACCACAACCTTCTTCCTAGTTCATCATAATCATCATCATCCTCCGGTTGTGTCGTTTTATGTGACACAGGGCTGGGGGTTTATTCTTTCATTCCGTTCTATGCTATGTTGTCCTTTCCAAATAATAATTTATAGTTAGTTAGTTTAGCTAGCTAGTTAGTTAGTTAGTTAGTTAGTTAGTTAGTTAGTTAGTTAGTTAGTTAGTTAGTTAGTTAGTTAGTTAGTTAGTTAGTTAGTTAGTTAGTTAGTTAGTTAGTTAGTTAGTTAGTTAGTTAGTTAGTTAGTTAGTTAGTTAGTTAGTTAGTTAGTTAGTTAGTTAGTTAGTTAGTTAGTTAGTTAGTTAGTTAGTTAGTTAGTTAGTTAGTTAGTTAGTTAGTTAGTTAGTTAGCTAGCTAGCTAGTTAGTTAGTTAGTTAGTGAGTTCAGTCAGTAGTTAGTCAGTTAGTTCAGTTAGTTAGTTAGTTGGTTAGTTAGTTAGTTAGTTAGTTAGTTTAGTTAGTTGGTTAGTTGGTTAGTTAGTTTAGTTAGTTAGCTAGTTAGTTAGTCAGTCAGTAGTTAGTTAGTTCAGTCAGTCAGTAGTTAGTTAGTTAGTTAGTTAGTTAGTTAGTTAGTTAGTTAGTTAGTTAGTTAGTTAGTTAGTTAGTTAGTTAGTTAGTTAGTTAGTTAGTTAGTTAGTTAGTTAGTTAGTTAGTTAGTTAGCTAGTTAGTTAGTTAGTTAGTCAGTCAGTCAGTCAGTCTAGTTAGTGAGTCAGTCAGTCAGTCAGTCTCAGTCAGTCAGTCAGTCAGTCAGTCAGTCAGTTAGTCAGTCAGTCAGTCAGTCAGCAGTCAGTCAGTCAGTCAGTCAGTCAGTCAGTCAGTCAGTCAGTCAGTCAGTTAGTTAGTTAGTTAGTTAGTTAGTTAGTTAGTTTAGTTAGTAGTTAGTTAGTTAGTTAGTTAGTTAGTTAGTTAGTTAGTTAGTTAGTTAGTTAGTTAGTTAGTTAGTTAGTTAGTTAGTTAGTTAGTTAGTTAGTTAGTCAACAGATTATCCTCATTGCACATCAGACAAGTCCTTAAGCGCTCAGATCCCATCTTCAGTATATCCTTTACCGTATGGCAACTAATAACACCAGTTCTGTGTTGGTTTACTATTCTTCTTCAGCTACCTTTATAGTGTTCATGTTTGGCGACACGTCTTTTGACCTGAAAGTTCTCGTAGTCTTTTGAGCTTTGCAGATGCAAGGTTGTCTCCTAGATAATCTTCTCCTCCTGCCTCCTTGAGAGCATTGAGAATTATTTAAACAATCGAGTTCAGCATCTGCGATTCCACTTATAAACATTAGTTTTAGGATTCATCTCGGATATCCTGGTTTCCCCTGTCTGTTGTTCTCCTCTGAATGCACTTAGGATATGACCATGTTCATTATCTTACAGATGTTGACTCTAACGCTTGTCCAGGCGTTTCTATTATTTCTTCTTGAATTCATTCTATTTAATATCCATGAATTCCCGTAATAATTTCTTTTTTAACACCTTTAACTTTCGTTTCGTTGTAAGACTAATTCAGTGTTAATCAATGCGTCCTAAGGCATCCATTGAAAGTAAACTGGATGCTGCAGAACAAGCAAATATTCGTCTCAAAGGACAAGTCGATGACCTGGCTCGCCAGCTCAATGACCTTACCTCCATCAAGGCTAGACTTACACAAGAAAATTTCGATCTTCAACATCAGGTAATCTCTACTGTCATTTTTTAAAAATTAATTTTTAAATTGAATAAACTAGCTATAACATGTTGACAAATGACGTCTTTGAATAACTGTTTGAGAACAGACTTATTACAAATCTGTGAACTAATAACTAATATCTGTTTGAGAACACACTTATTACAAATCTGTGAACCAATCAAAAATATAAACCACAAAGAATTGGAGTGAGAAGCAACAGCGACGGCTAATCTATGGAAAAAAGTGAAGAATGGAGATTAAGATGAAACAGCGAAATTTGTTTAAACCACGATTGGTACAAGGAATGCTAATTGACTGCAGTGATCAGGGAATATAGGGAGAAACACGAAAAAAAGAGCAGAATGAAAGTAGACCACGAGGCAGAGAATACCCAAGCAGACCTTTATACATTTGGATTCACCAACTAGAGAGAGAGAGAGAGAGAGAGATGAGAGAGAGAGACTCAGAGAGCTGGAGAGAGAGGAGAGAGAGAGAGAGAGAGAGAGAGGAGAGAGTGGAGGGGGGGGGGGGCAATCACAGGGCGAATGGATGCGTGTCATATCTGATGCGATGAGCCTCGATGACTCGGAATAATCAACAAAACAAGGTAGAAGCTATGGAATGGGCGAAAAAAGCAAGGGAATTTTTTTTTTTTAATGAAGCTTCAGAAGTGTTGGCATGTTTTTGCATGTTGGCGAATACTTTCTATCCGCAACTTAAAGCTGTAAAACTGTACTGTGTATTTGTCAAGCTGACAATTTTACTTTCATATTTGTTGATTTAAAATAGTGTATTGTTATTATTTTATTATTAATATTAATATTATTATTATTATTATTATTATTATTATTATTATTATTATTATTATTATTATTATTATTATTATTATTATTATTATTATTATTATTATTATTATTATTATACACGCGGTTGCATAGTGCTAGACGCTCGCATGCTGGCCCGAAGGTCAATGATGCAAATCTGCATCGAGGCGGACTTTTATTTAAGGGGGAGTCAGAGCTAACTTTGGTTTTCAGATCGACCCAGTTCAACATGAGTACTATGTAAGGTCCTGGGAGGTAAAGGCGGCCGGCCAGATGCCGACCACATCTTCACCTGGTGATGCCTGGTCTATGAAAATATAGGTCTAGCACTTTTCACCAAAAGCGCCTTCGGTGCCTTCTCTTACTTCCGTACTGATTACAATTGAGGGGATATAACTCAAAGTCTCTCATCGCTCTTGCAGGTTCAGGAACTAGATTCCAGCAATGCTGCTCTATCCAAAGCCAAATCTCAGCTGCAGAGTCAGAACGATGACCTCAGGAGAAACTTGGATGATGAGTCTAGGGTAGGTATATTTTGTTGAAAGATACATTTCTATTTGGTGCTTCTTCCTTTTTGTTCCATCTATTTTGTTGTTGTTATTGTTTCGTCTCCCCCCCCCCCCCCTCACTCTAGTTGGTAATTGTTCTTTCAATCGATGACAAACTTGCACCTCCCCCTCCCCCCCCCCCTTTTCCTTTGTTCACCTCGCCTTTTTTTTCGCTTCCCTATTCTTTCCATTTCTTCTTCCCTCATTTCTCTTACTCATTTAGATGTCTGGCCTCAAACAGACACACATTTTTGTGTGTCTCTATTCCTTTCTCTCGACTCATATTTATCTAACACAGATTTACTTATTTTATTAATTTGTGTCTAGCCGAGTAAACTTTCTACACAGTTTTCTTTACCATTGTAATACAATGAGGTGAAGATGGGATCCTACTCATCGGTCGATTCTTTTTCTTCTTCATCTTGTTCGCCGGCAGTGAATTCCCGCGGAAAGTCCCGGCTGTTCGTCTACTTGGACTTGAAGCTTTTACCTGGACCTGAGTTTTTCGTGTACATCCGTTTTACTGACCTATTTGTGTGCAGTTCTCATGTCCTGTCTCTCCGGCAGATGTACTCCGACTTAGAAGGAAAGACGTCAAGCCTATCTCTAGGATGACTGTGGCCATCATCGGTCGACTAACTAACACAATAGTTGAAGGCTATACCAGGCTGGTGAAACCGTTACGGATGCCCCAGTCAAAACTTGTTTCGAGGTTCTGGGTATGCCCAGCTGTTTTCCCGTCCTGAATGAGATTTCATAATCTTGGATGGTTAAATCGTCTTTTCTCAGATAGCTGTAAATCAAATCTTCTGCAACAACACACAGTTTTAACAAACATTTAATAATTAATACGTTTCCATTACAGCAAAGGCAGAATCTCCAGGTTCAGCTGGCCGGTCTTCAAAGCGACTATGACAGTCTCAACTCCAGATATGAGGAAGAAGTGGAAAGCTCCAACAGTCTCAGGGCTCAACTCAGCAGAGTCAATACTGAGTACAGCACCCTGAAGGCACGATTTGATAAAGAAATCCAACTGAGAACTGAAGAGCTGGAGGAAACCAGGTTTGTTTTATGTTTGTGTCTCTAAACACAAACTAATTAAATCTTAACATTAAAATCAGGAGAATGCTAAGACTAGCTGAAGCTTTATCAATTAAAATCAACAAATATTCTTTGTGTAAACATAAAGAGTTCATTATAAATTTCAAATTACCCTGGTAAGTCACGTGACTTGCATGAACTTTCGGCGATTAGACGAAGAAGATATTGAAGATATTGAGAGAAAACATCTGATTTGCATATGTCAGTGAAATTAGCTAACTGTGTGTGTCTTTTTATGTGTGTGCGCGCGCACGCGTCCTTCATTATATGTAAAGGTGACTGTGTAGTAACGCACCTGATGAGATACAGTGAAATATACCTGGTCAATAAATTGTGCTATGTATTGTTTGTGTCTCCATTATTAAAACTGTTAACATTTTACTATACAAGATAAGAGGTTGGTTGAGCGGCTAGGACACTGGGCTGTGATGCAGGAGACCTTGTTTGGATTCTTTGGTGAGGTGATAAACATTTGTAATTTCTGTCAAGGAAAAAACGAATTGTCTTCGACGAATCCTAAATGTAACTAGAAAAGTAAAATCAGAAATGACGAAATCCGGAAAGAAGTTGAGATGAAACTAGTTCTAAACTACATCAAGGGATAACAGATCAAATGGTTCGGACATGGCAAAATGAAAGGTCTACAAGATTCCTGAAAATAACTAGAAGAGACATGATCAGAAACAACGATAACATAAGAAGAGGTTTGGGGCGGAACACTGTCATTTAGACGCCAAGAAAGCAGACCTTTAGATCTGTCATGGAAGCGATGGGTAGATGGAATATCCGAGGCGCTATAAGTTGTCATTTAAACTTAGTATGTTGGCCAATGGTAGTCCGATGTTGTTAGCAATATTTTGCTGAATTACTTATCGCCCCATTACCGTATGCTCATAAAGAGGTGGGTTTTTTTAGAAGGGGGGGGGGGTATCGCCTTAAGAAGGAGAAGAAGAGGCGGAGGAGAGCTATGTAGTGGGCGATACACAAGGCGAACCAGCTCAGTGACTTTATCTGGGCACACTATCCAGGGCCGTGCAGAGACACAGCGATAGAGGAATATATTACAGGGACTCAGAAAAGAGCCTGTATCGGAGGTTTAGGGTTTGGACCCAGTTATGCCCAGAAAGTAATCATAAGGCCAGTACGTGGGTGGTGATTTTAAATAACTCGGGCAAATTGTGGCAGGGTATAAAATGGCGAGCCACCTCAGGGGTAAACATCTTGTTCCTTTTTGTAAATACATTAAAAGCCAATGTGTAAACTCTAACGATGTTAGGGTTGTTGTATGTAGACAGACACAATATCATAGAGTTGCATACAAGCCATTGCTTCTAAGGCAGTAAACATCTATGTGACACCAACACGGGTACTAAATGGTAATTTATCCTGCAGGCGAAAACTGTCTGCTCGTATTACTGAACTCGAGGACGTTGCCGAACAGCTGCGAGTCAAGAATAGTGGCCTGGAGAAAGCCAAGGCCAAGCTGACAGTGGAAATTAGGGAGATTACAATCGAGCTAGAGAACGTAAGTACTTTTTCTGGAAATTCTCATACTGTACAGCTATAGTCCGTTCCACAAGTCTTGCTTAACTTTAAAAAATATGGAACTCAGTAACCGTTCAGTGTCAGTTGTTGAAATTTGGGCATGCATCCTAATAATAATCATGTCCCTGTGAGAATTTTTTTTTAATGTAAACAAATATCTAGCATTCATTTTGCCTTTTTTGCGCTATATGTATCAGAAGATCGACTCGAATCCCAACAATTTACTAGAACCATTGGTTTCTAGAGTATCTATGATCTCTAGTGTATTAAAACAAGGAATTACGCTTGTCAGATAAGGGCAACAATTGGAGTGTCCCTGTGCGCGTAAAAGATTACTCTTAATTAAAAATTGCAAAGATGAGGCTGTAAGTTTGGTGTGCATGCTGAAGACCATAACAGTCGTGATGTGACGGCTTCCCTCGAACAAAGAACGAAAAAGGAAGACAGCGGTAAGATGAAGACAATATGATGTTCACGACAATACTACAATAGTGAAGATAAATGATGCCATTTTTGTAACACATGCTGCTACTGTTGCTGCTGATTTCAGTTGCTGCCTCTTAGCGTTAGTAGTTATGTCTTTGGTCGGTCTTCAATCTTGTGTACTTTCGATAATGTATGATACAGATGATTCTCCATATCATGATACCAAATAGTCCAGCATCTTCTTTCTTGGTTTTCCTATGTCTCTGCTCCATATCTATCTTTCCCATTGATAACTGTAATCGCAATGTTAATGGAATATAACTAGAATGTCTTTGCACTGGAACCCACAGGGCCAAATAAAGGAAGAAACAAAACCCATGGAGAAGAGAGCTAGAGAGTGAAGTTAAACAGACGGGGAGGAACATGGAAAGAGCTGCATGCGACAGCGAAGGATAGACAGTCTTGGCTGAGTTAGTTGAGAGCCTATGTTCCATTGTGGGGTCATAAACTAGAAGAATGTTAATGGTAATGGCAGTTCCAATTCATATAAAACGGGACCCCTCATGGTTGCTCCCTTCCAGTGGCAAAGAAAACCACACAGAATTACAATCCATGTTCCTTGAGGGGTAAAAAATGACACAGACTGCAGTCTCCGCAAAGCCAATAGCACACACTCACAATGAAACCGCCAGAAGTGCCAACACTAACAGTACAACACTAGAAATGCAGTTCATCGTCATTAGAAGGAACTTTCTCGTACTACGTCCCCGTCTTCTCCCGATGTTGATGGCAGCCACAAAATATATACAGCTGACGTTCCTTCTCCTTTGTGCAAATAACTACAGCTAATCGTATCAATCTTTGTTTCGTTTCAACAGACGCAGATCATAGTACAGGACTTGACCAAACGCAACAGGCAGCTGGAGAACGAGAACGCAGCCCTTCAGAAACGCGTTGATGAGCTTGGTGCTGAAAACAATGGTCTTAGGGCAGAAAAGGCCAACCTGGAGCAAGAGGTCTATAGGCTGCGGGTGGCCAACGCCGAACTTACCGAGCGCAATGATAACTTGCAGAGAGAGAACAAACAACTTTCTGGTATGTATGAGAGGCTAGTTAATCATTATATATATATATATATATATAATATTATATATATATATATATATATATCATATATATATATATATATATCAAACCAAGCAAAAGGTAGAACCAGTTAGCTTCAAAACCACAAACACCAGTGGCAAGTCAACGTTGCGGCCTGACAGCCTTCATCAGTACACTGCATACTTCAACCCTATCAGAAGTACAAACAAATAGTTACAGCCATGGGCGCCGACAACAAGAAAACATTGGGTGGGCATCAGTCCCCTTCAACAATATTCTCAAAGAATCTAAGCCTCGCTGAAGTAAATAACAATAATTACAAATAGATAATAATAGCGGGACATGAATGACATAGATATTGAGATAGATTTCATTTAATAAAATGCCATGGACAGTATTTTTTGGAGCGGAAAAATCAGGAAGGGAATAAGAATTTTAAAAATAGAGGGGGGGGGGATGACTGCAGAAAGGCTGAGACCTGAGCGCCTGAGAAGAAATCCCAGGAGATGAGGTGTGGTGGCGGCTCTAAGCCGAAAGAAGATGTTTTGAAAACAAAATAATTAAACTTAGAAAATTAGACATCTAGTTACCCGTATCATAAGTAAAAATGGAAATTGTTCACACCTTTAGGAGTATTGGGTACATACCAAACAAAAAGTTGAGTAAAGATCCCCTTTTTACGCCTTCAGGTTCATCGGGTATATGGAGAAAGCATCCCATATTTTTACAGACCAAAACAAAGTGGGTAATGTGGTCAGCATTACGCCAGCCGTCTTTACTTCCCCAGGACAGCCATCCTGGTACCCATTTCAGGCTAGGTCAGCCTGCCACGCTCCATACCATGATAAAAATTCACGCAGCCAGCAGTGGGTTCTGATTACGTTCTGGTACGTTGGAATTACGAGTCGAACTCGCAACGCCTAAGCCACGGACGCCGCTATTGGGTATATAGTGCTAGACCTATATTTTATAGACCAATCGGCACTCAATGGGTGATGCGGAAGACGTCACTTGCCTTTATTTCCCAGGACTTAACCTGGTATCTATTTAAGACTGGGTTAAATTAGAGTCAAGGTCATTTTGGAAAGAAAAAAATAAAGCCCTGCTCTGTTAGGACCTGAATCCAAGACCTTCAGATCCGCAAACGAGCGTCTATCCGCTTCACCGCGTGGACATGAATGTTTCAGTGTGTTTTATTTTTCTGTTAAAGCAGCGGTTCTCGGCGTATGGGTCACGACCCTTTTTTGGGTCGAACGACCCTTTCACAGGGGTCGCCAAAGACTATCGCAAAACAAATATTTATTGAAGTTATGAAGTAGCAACGTAAAAAATTGTATGTTTTAGAGAAGGTTTTAATTCAAAGGTTGTGAATAATTGGCTTTCTTTCCCACAAGTATGTCTGCGGGTAGGGTATTAGCTAGACGCTCGGCACCCCGTCCGAAAAGTCTAGAATTCGAATCCGTCTCATGGCTGATTTTTTTTTTTTTTTTTTTATGGGTATGAGGTTGGGTTCTGGCAACCTGGCACGTAAGGGCGACCATATCAGCCAGGGAATAGCGATTAGTGCCTGAAAGTTTGACAGTGCGTGACTAAAAAACCTCAGTCCTGGTGGCAGACCAGCAACAGGTTAAGCGCATATACTCCGCTTAATCTTAAAGGAAGTTTTAGTCAGAGCAACCATAACTGCCACACTAACCCTGTTTGCATGCAGCCCTGTTCAGTTAAGGAGGCTAAATGAATATCCAATAAAACACAAAACCGTACTCAACCAAAAATAGTACCTGATATTCTCAAGTTCTTCGTCCTTCTCACGAAGCCTGGCTTTCATGTCTTGGCGGAGTTTCAAGCGATTAACAAATATGAATCTACCATCGTATGCCTGATGCGCCAATGGTAGAACAAGGATAGACTTTATCGAACCGGATTTATCCGACGTGGCCCAGTCTCTCTCAGCAGAACGGCTAGATGCCTGCTGAAAGCGTCGCAAAAAAAAAAGCATGTACTCCGTAGATGAGGTAACGATTGCCATGTATCTCCGTAAAACTTGCACTTGTGAACAGAATGGCTGAGCCTTGAAACGAACACACAACATTCAGAGCGCGAGGCCAATCTTGGCCACCACGGATATCCCCTGGCATAACAAGGTCTTTTTTTTAACTTCACCTTTTGCTTACTTAAAATGCACAGGTAAAACATTTCAATACGATGTGGTGAATGTATAAAACTTTACCTTCCAGACCAGCTTCGTGAAGCTAATCAAGCTTTGAAGGAGGCCAATCGTGAGCTTGCCGACTTGAGAGCCCTACGTGCCCAACTGGAGGCTGAGAGGGATTCTCTGGCCGCAGCACTGAAGGTAAGTAGCCTAATTCAAACCTGATCGAAGGTATTTCTAACAGTCACAGGTGATCAGCACTGAAATAGCTCTTTGTGAACATTAAATTAGGAGACCACAATAAAGTTCATGAAAGCGTGACATAGACTGTCACTACTGCCTGTACTTATCACCTTTTAGGGCGTTGTAAACAGGTGGGTCGTGAACCTAAGGATTTAGGGCCGCATGGCTAGTACTGTCGTCACATACTGAAGGTGTGTAACGCCCAATATTTCCCCTTTTTCAGGACACAGAGGACGCTCTACGTGACGCCGAGAACAAGCTAGCCAACGCCAATGCTGCTCTGGAGAAACTCCGTCAAGACATGGAAGCCAGGCTCCGTGAGAAGGACGAAGAGTTGGAGAATATCAGGTACTATTTTGGTTCAGAACGGTTTTGTGTTTTCGAGGATATTCATTTAGTCTCCTCATTTGAACAGGGCTGCATGCCAAACAGGGTTCGTGTGGCAGGTATGGGTGCTGTGACTATAATTTCCTTGAAGATTGAATGGAGTATCTGCGCTTACCCTGTTGTTGGTTTGCCACCAGAACTGTTTTTAAGTCACATAATATCAAACATTCAGGCCTGGTTGGTCTGTTATACATATTGAGATTTTCTGATCTCATGGTGTCAAACTTTTTAAGTAGCCGCCCAGACAGGATCACCTACACGACAGAAAACACACCTAAGCGCCAAAATAAGCTGCGAATTCAATTTGGAATGGTTTGACTTTACCCAGCGTGGTTTGCATTCTGAACTGCAGATTCAAAAAATGGCTAGTCGCCGGTTGCCGCAAAACTGGTCAGGCTTTATGCAATTAATTCCACGTGCAACTGCTAATCTGTTGTAACTGCTGCTTCCCTCGACGATGAACTGCATTTCCGGTGTCGGTCTATTTGTGTTGGCACTTCTAACGACTGCCTTATGCATTCAATGAGTAGGTATGCTACTGCATTTTCTAAAACTGTAGTATGCGTTAATTATTTCACAAGACTAAGATGGGCATTCTGTGGGTTTCTCGTTCGCTCAGGAACAAGGCAACTATGGGGTGACCCGTTTACTGTGATGCTGGAACTGCTGTTAGCTGATTGCTGTGTAGGAGGAAACCACGGTAGTGCTATGCTATGTCCCAGAGAGACAGAACCCGTTGAACGAGTCTAGAAATATTTAGAGCTCTCCAGCTTTTTAAAATATGTCTACCCCTTCTCCTTCACCGTCACTTCTTCTTCTTCTCTTCCTTCTCCCCCTTCTCCTTTTCTTTGTCCTCCTTCTGCGTTCATCTTTGAAGGACAATAGGCACGTTGTGTTGGTGCTTAAAGCTAGGCTGCCATACCTGAGCCTTTTAGTCCAAAACATCTGATCTAAGCGAATTCCTGATTAGTCTTAATTTGCAACACTCATTGTTAGAGGGCAGTAAGTTTATTCTTCTCTCTCTTTCTCTCTCTCTCTCTCTCTCTCTCTCTCCCTCTCTCTCTTTCTCTCTCTCCCCCTCTCTCTCCCCCATCTCTCTCTCTTTCTCTCCCTCTCTCTCTCCCCCTCTCTCTCTTTTACTCTCTCCCTCTTTCTCTCTCCCTCTCTCTCTCTCCCTCTCTCTCTCTTTCTCTCTCCCTCTCTCTCCCCCTCTCTCTCCCCCTCTCTCTCTCCCTCTCTCTCCCCTCTCTCTCCCTCTCCCTCTCTCTCCCTCTCTCTCCCTCTCTCTCCCTCTCTCTCCCTCTCTCTCTCTCTCTTCAAAATGCGGCATCGGAACCCATATAAGGAGAGACTCAGTCAATGCTAGCAAAATGTTTAACGAAACGTTGTCTTGTCCTTTATCTAGACGTAGCAGTGCCCGAGTCATTGAGGAACTACAACGCACCTTGGTGGAAGTGGAAAGCCGCTACAAGTCTGAGATTAGCCGCATCAAGAAGAAGTTGGAGTCAGACATCCGTGAACTGGAGGGTGCCCTGGACAACGCCAATCGGGCCAATGCCGAGTATCTCAAACAAATCAAGAGTCTGCAAATCCGGGTCAAGGTCATTATTATGTTTGTGAAATGTTAGCTGTGCGGCGACTTATATCATGTTTTAATGAAGAGGTTCTCAAACTTTTTCGAGTGGCGCCCACTGAATATATGACAAGGACATTTCCCCCCCCCCCCCCCGCCTACACACACACGCCTCTCCTTTTCCCTCCCATTTTAACTCTTCCCTTTCTGCTGAAGATAGGGACGGAGCGCTTGTTGGGGTGTCCTGAGTGCTGTGATGTCGATTCTTAATTCAACATTCAACATTTCTTTCCAGAATGGCTTAAATTAAACACTAAATCCTTAACTAAGGGACAAAAAGAGACATTCAAAGCACACTTAACAAGAATTTGAATAAAAACTTCTACATAAATTAAAGTTTCAAATAACATAAGAGAAACAATCATCGAAACCGGGTAATTTAGAGTCTAAATATCAGTGTGAGGTTGACACTGTTTTGTCTGGGTGTTATCTGCTGTTTTTTGGTCTGATGTTAGAAAAGACACCGAGGAGAACATACAGCTTTCAGCGCTGTGTTGTTTTTAGGACAATAAATTTTAATTTATAATTAAACTGAACACACTTCTGTGTAACAGATTATTTCAAGTACAAATGAACTCAATAAAAAAAAATTGCTTGAAACAACCATATAATAGTCGTCCCCTTGTGGGAGGCAATTTTTTTGTAATTTGAAGCCCCACCCTGGCTTTGCCAGGGGCCCTGAATACAGCGGGGCCATAAATATATGGCCTAACGGCTAAAAGGGGTTTTTGAGACCTCTACACTGGTGATCCTCATCCGCATGGTGGCACTTTGTGTCACCAGGTAAGAATCCTTGTGTGATGTCCTGGTGGGGTACAACTACCTACCTACCTTGACACCACCTTTAAACTTTCATGCGCTTACCAGGTTGAAAAACAGTTTTGAAGTGGTTTCTTCTCCTTATCCCTCCTCCTCCTTTCCTTAAACCCCCAGTGTTTTCAACGTAATGAAATTGTGCTTGTTTACTTACAGACATGCTTTGACATATCTTTCGGCTAATGTGGTTTGTTCGGTATTCTTGAGGCTGCATTTCTTGTATTTGTGTTCACTGATCAAAATTTTTAGATGAAACGTTCTGTAATTATGGTTGTATTTTGTATGTACGTTTTCAACTTCTAGCTCTTATCTCACAACATGACATAGGCTCTCATCTAACTCACGATAAACTGATAACGTCTGGCTAAAACTTTACAACAAAGGTTATCAACGAAATGTCGAAGCTAGTCAGTCCCGCGCCCACAATCCTAGGTTGTCTCTTACGTCACAGATGGAAATTACATTCTTACTTTTTTCTTCCTCCTCTTCTTCTTCATTGCCTCTTTTATCCTTAGGGTGTCAAATCCCACCTCGACATTATTAGAGGTGGTAAACTAGACAGAGTAAGTATTGCTAAAACTAGGTGAAGATGAAGGTCACCTTGGGTCACATCAAAACTCCTTTGGCACTGGGTCTCTGGTGTAATTGCGACAGGCCTAGCAAGCCAGGAACGAATTTATTATCGTTAGAATAAGTTCATTTATCTCATTGTCTTTTATTTGTATGTATTACAGTGAACAACTCATCATCGCATATCAGGTCCTTTGCAGAACGTCGCTCTCATCACGGCCTGTCTGAAAGAAATGTGGTCTCTCGCCAGTTCTGCCAACTCGTTAACTTTCCTACCCCAGGGGTATCTTATATTCTATGCCCATCTTCATTCTGGTCGAGATAAGATGCTGTTAAGAACTTTTAGGATGTCTGTTTTTCTTTTCTTCTTTGTCCATCATATTCCGAGAATGTTTCTATAACATTTCAGCTCAAAAGACCATATTTTCGTCATCAAGGACTCAGTATACAACACTGTCACTTAATAGCTGTTTTATTTGTTGTGTCCTCTCTAGGAGCTGGAAGGTCTGCTGGACGAGGAGCGCCGTAACGCTGACGATCTGAGAAGCCAGTTGTCCCTCAGTGAGAGGAAGAGGATCGCGATTGCCCAAGAGTTAGAGGATGCCAGGTCACTCCTGGAAGCAGTACGTGATTTTAAACGTTTGATTGCGCTTTGTTAATATGTAGTTGTCTCTTGTATGTGCGAGGTTATTTGTGTGTCTAAGAGTGACGAAAACATTAGATATCTAGATGCATATATAGACGGACAGGTGAGCGGACGGATGGGCTGATAAAAAGAATGAACAAACGCACACAATGTATTTTTAAAGTGTTAAGAATTGGGCACGCAGACCCGTTTAACATTCTGCCCGTACAGTCTACTCCTTGCATAGTTTATTCATGCAACCATTTTGTAGTTAATAATAAAATTTAAAAATTTCACAACATCTAGAAAGGCAGAGAGAGAGAGAGGCAAGCAGGCAGACAGACAGATAAAACAGGGGTGAATGCAGTCGAGATAGTTCAACACAATGAATTCACTGAACAAGGACTCAAGGAAGGGGGAAGAAAAATAACACACACATAAACAATGAATGTTTCTGCCTGAGCCAAAAGTAATGACTTTTTCCATTTGTGGTGTTAGCCAATAAAGACTTACGTCGAAATTTTAAGTTGTTTCTGCATTTGCATAGCCAAACTTTGCATTGCCTCTACTTTGTCGTACAATTTTTTGAATGGTTTTAAATTGTATAAGCCCTTCATTGCTACTGTTTTATTATATACAGTTTCCTGTACCGTTTATCATGTATAAACATTGCACTGCTTCTGTTTTTTCATACAGTTTCCTGTACGATTTTAATATTTTAACATCGGATAGCTTCTGTTTCATCATATAAATTATTGTATGGTTTTAACTTGTAGAAACATTACATTACCCCTGTTGTATCACACAAACTGCTCTACGGTTTAACATGTATAAACATTACATTGTGTAATACCATATACTTTTCTGCATTGGTTTAACTTATATAAATCTTCCATTACCTGTGTTTGCTCAGGCGGAACGTTCTCGCAAAAATGCCGAGACTGAACTACAGGAGGTCAACATCAGAATCAGCGAGCTGACCATCTATGTGACGTCACTGACTAACGATAAAAAACGACTGGAGGGAGATGTTGCTGCACTACAGGTGAGAGTCAAAAGCACACCGTCTCATATTGTTGCTTTATCTGGGAGCACGGTGGTGATAGGGTTAAATATCATGGAAGATAGAACCAAACAAAAAGTAGATCAGCGAGCTTCACAGTATAAAAAACATAAACGAAAAGTGAACGTTGCGGCTATAGAACCTTCATCAGCACATACCTAAATCATTTATCATGACTAACGGCAAAAAGCGACTGGAGAGAGATGTTGCTGCACTACAGATGAGAGTCAAAAGCAAACCGTCTCATATTGTTGCTTTATTTGGGAGCACGGCGGTAATAGGGTTCAATTTCATGGAAAGATAGAACCGAACGAAAAGTAGAACAGCAAGCTTCACAGTATAACAACCATAAACGAAAAGTAAACGTTGCGGCTATAGAACCTTCATCAGCACAACTTAATTATTTATCATGTTTTAGTATTGGGCATTTAGGGCTAGACCTATATTTCATAGACCAGTCGGCACTTGGTGGGCGATGTGGTCAACATCATGGGAACAATTAGTAAAAGTACCTTGGAGTGGCTGCTTCATTGAAGGACTGAGCATGCATGGGAATGCCCAATGTACAGTGACGTCGGTTATGATAGCATAACATAACATATATAAATTAAACAAAACCACACGAATACACAAAATCACTTAACTGACGTTTTCCGAAGCAGCCACGTTGATATCTTGCCACTGGAACTAGACAGTTCGCGCTTCAGCGACGCTTTCGGTAGGCGGCTAGTAGTCGTTCTGCAGAAAGAATGACCAAGTCAAATTACATACAAGCTGCTGCAATCAAATCGATGTTCTTGACTTTAAACAATCGTAAACAAAATCCTCATCTGCACAGTAAAGGCGACTGCACTGGCCATGCGGCCTTAAATCTTTTGGCTCAAAGACCCCAGCCTACACCATAAAAAGTGATATAATAAAGGCAGTTATTAGCAGGTTTAATTTTTTTTTTCTATACTCAGATCATCTGCTTTTCATTGAAGATTTGGGGCTGCTAAATCTAAGAACAGGCTTTGCAGTTTCTGTAGACACTTTGTGGTTACTACTAGTTATTGGTAGTCGTATGGTGCTCGCTCTATGTTTGATAGAACGAAAAGACAATCTTAATCATCTGGTCAGAAGGGAACAAAATCAGCCAGCAGCTAAAGCTAACACCGTCAGAAAGAAGGCTACAGGTCAAGAGGCCGACCAAGAAAGACATGGGTGGAGTGAGTAAAATAGACATTACAGAAACGCAATATATTTTATATAAGAGATGAAATGGTTTGACCATATAAAGCATATATCAACAAACAGTGTAGCACAGCAAGAAGTGAGGTACAGACAAGGTGGTTTCTGATCCTCCCTCTTCTTGTTATATGAAGAGCCCATCACATGAATCCAATTTCATTTGTAATTTTTATTTTCTCTTTGTCTGTCATTGTTCATGTCTGGCAATTATATTACCTCGTTGACTCCACTTATAACGGTTAAATGCACTGGATTTGATGTGTTCATATTTTAGACTCGTCGAGTCGGCCAAATTTTGATCCTGGTCTTTTTTATCGGCATAGTCGCCTCTTTCCCTGTACCGAGCCCTATAGTGGTTAGTGATTAGAAAGGATTATCATTACGACACTCCGGACAGATCCATAGGTGCTCCGATCTCCTCCTAAAAAATCTCCACAAGTGTAAAACGACTGTTGACACCTGTTCTGTGTTGGTTAATTAAACGTTTTGTCCCCTTAGTGAAATATTCATTTCTTGCAGTTTCAGGCTGCACTCCCATGTCCACCAGTCTTGACAGGGAAACGGAGTCATGACCTTTGGCGTGCTCCTCGGTTCAGTAAGTGTAGCGCATGGCATTGATAACATCACTTCTGTCCAATACTGGGCCAGCCATAGCCACCGCATTGTCAGCAAGATAGTCCCTGAAGTGGTTCTGGTAAAGAACGGTTAGGTTAGTAGCGCATCCTTTACAGGACGTTGCAGAACCAACCCCCACAGCCCCTGGCTGTTGTGTGGGTTTTTTTCTAGGCAAATTTACGTCCAGTAGTTTGCCATTGTTACTGGACGGTCGGCTTTTTTATACCACTGTCGAAACCAACGCAAGGAGCATGGCCCGCAGCTGGGATCGAACCCGGCATCCCGGCATTACGAAGCGTTCGCATCGACTTTGCCACAGTGCCGACTAAAGAACGGTAGAAATTGTTAATATCCGCACCATTTCATTTTTCGACGTTTCACTATTTGTAAAATTCGCAGTCATCAATATGTTGAGTGATGACGAACTTTGCCATTTGTGATGTTGTCTATGTATGATATACCCATGATCTTTCAAACAAGATTTAGTTTCTAAAGCATGTATTACCACTGGAAAGATCTATGAAAGGAGGGATAGAGGAAGACAACGAGAGAAGATTCTTGACAGTCTTGTTGCATGGCATGGAGGTGTGTCGGCACACGAACTAATACATGTTGCAGAAGATCTCAGATTGTGGAGAGACATGATCGCCCACGCCTGTCGGCAAGGCACCTAATGTTGATGAAGCATGTATTGTCCTTTCAAGTTCAGGTTAATGCGATTTTATATTTCTAGCGTGAGAAAATGGCCTTGAAGTTTTGACTAAAAATATGAGATTGATTTATCTGTACTTACTTCAAACAGAGTGATCTGGACGATGCTTTGAACAACCAGAGAGCAGCAGAGGAACGCGCGGAGCGACTGGCTTCTGAGAATGCCCGTCTTGCTGACGAACTTCGTCAAGAACAGGTTTGTTTCTTTTGCGTATCTCAATGTAATTGTTTTTCTAACTGAAAAACCACATAAGTCTACAATATAATGAGGTCCTAACATGTAAACATACCCTAAGACTTCAAACCGTTGTGCTATAATCGTTACCAGGACTATAAAGTCACCGGAGAAAGTTGTAGTTAAAGACTTCAATATCTGCACTTTACTTTTATGTTTGGGAGCCCCGTTTGTGGGGAAAATAAAAATAGACCCACTGCCTCCCCAACAACCATGTCGTAGAAGTCGGCTTATTGGGGGCTTCCTTCGAAGTCAGGGTGTATCTGCCTGAGAGGCCAGGAACCAACAATGGGCATACAAAAGGTCAGATCTGTAAAACAGATGTGCACGAAATACTCAGATTTTGGAACGAAAGTCCAGAGTTGGACGAACAACCTCAACTTAGTGGTGGAGTTTACAGCCCGTGAAGGTGAAGAAGAAGAAGAAGAATATTTTTACACATTTGCAGGAATCCACAGTAAATTTGTTAATGTAGTTCGCACACGGAGTCAGATGCACGATAAATTAAACATACTTGATGCAAGATCACAACAGCTAGGTCTAAAAATCCATAAAGGAAAGACAAAGATATTAAGAATAAATCAGACAAATAGTAATGTGGTTTCTCTAAATGGCACCCCACTCAAAGACATGGAGTCGTACGCCTGTTTGGGCAGGAATGTAGATAAAGATAAGGGAACTGATAGAGAAATTAAAATACGAATACAAAGGGCAAGAGGAGCTTTCATAGGACTATGGCATTTGTGGAGCTCAACAGAAATTAACACTAATTCTAAACTTAACATTTTTAATTATAATGTCAAACCAGTACTGCTTATCGAGCAGAAAATGGAGAACAACTAGGGCAATTACTAATAAACTTAAAACATTCATTAACTGGTGCTTGCCCAGATTAGAGGCCATTAAATTGTATGATAAAATCACTAAGGTAGACCTTTGGGAGAGAACTAAACAAGTTCCAGTGGACCAAGAGGTGAGGACAAGACGTTGACGTTGGATAAGACACTTTGAGAAACACGAGGATAATATAACTGCAATGTCTTTGCACGGGAACCCACAGAGGCATATAATGAAAAAAAATACCCCCTCCCCCTTTATAACCGTCAGGGGGTCCGAGCATAAACTTACGGTTCAACGGGTCTTGCCGGAATGTGCACATGTAAGGCTATCTTTCTTTCATGAGGTGGTAATCCTGCGAACTACATACCTAGAGCGACCTTCTGTAACAACAACAGACTTTACAGGATACATTGGTTATAATGTTGTTGTGTATTAACTTATAATGATGTGTATTTTCTCTAAATATGTGGTTGATGTGTACATGTAATATACATAACACAGGACAATTACAAGAATGCAGAGAGCCTTCGCAAACAGCTTGAGATCGAGATCCGTGAAATCACTGTCCGTCTGGAGGAGGCTGAGGCCTTTGCTCAGAGAGAGGGCAAGAGACTGGTGGCTAAACTCCAGAACAGAGTAAGTCTCTATTGTCAGCACTGTGCCGAAGTCACCAAAGTGCTGAATCTTTGTTTGTAGACAATTAATTTTTTCTTCTTCGATCTTTCTGTCACACACACACAAAAACGTACATCTAGAAGCCAGGAGCCTTTATCAAGGCTGCCATGCAGTAAGATCCGTATTTTGTGCCGTTGTATTTCCGATATATACTCTCGGTTACATATCCTAGGGAGGTGATTTTTTGCACAGACAAAGAGGGAGGTAGGAGGAAGCTGCAATTCTCATCTTGGCGTTAGTATGTCATACATAAATAAAATCTACCTTGTCCAATTGTATCAAAACAAACATTTTCTGTTCTTTGTTTTTTCATCAGCTGTAAATGTATAGTTAGGGAACAAAGCAAATTTTACAGTACTGACGTGAGTTTTGAGTGTGATAGAAGTTACAGGCGTTTCTGCAATGGAGTTGTTTATCATGAGGGCGTGAGTCAATTATTTTGTTCAAACCAATGATTTGCATATATGTTGTGTGTGTATATAAAACAAAATATTATGTTCTGTTTTCTGGCGTCAGCGTTTATTTTAAATTAAATAATATGTATGTTCTAAGTTGCACTGTTAGTTTAAACCAGTGTGTCTGTATGGGCTGTTTTCCATCTTGCATCCGTAATACTTGGTTTAACTCTCTTTACAGTTTCATCTGCAGACTGCCATTCTTGGCAGTATGATGTTCATTTATCCATGTTTCATCTATATAAACCGTATTGTAATTGTTTATACGCCTTTCCTAATATCATGTAAGTATGTACTTCTCAAAAATAGGTGAGCTTTTTACAGATGATATTTATACAGCCTGTATGCTTGCGAAATGTAAAGCCTACGAGTCTTACAGTTTTCCATAATCTGCTTTTGGATATATCAATATCGTGGTTCTAAGTTAATTCTTAATTTCTTCAGCGTCAATAATTCTTTATAGCTCAACATTATATGTATTAATTGTTTTAAAAAGTTTTTGTCAAAGCTATCAGTTTTATGTTTCTCCCTCAACACTGGTATGTCTAGAAAGACTACACTCTTTTAGTGTCGATCTTGTCCGGTTGGTAATGCCCAGGGCGTGTTTTGTTCTTTTCTCTGTGTTTCAAATAGAATGATATAGAAAACAGTCTTCTTCTTCTTCTTCTTCGATCCTTCTGTCAGAAAACTTATATCAGGAGGCCGGTAGCCTTTATGAAAGCTATCGTGCAATCCATATCCTCTCGTGTAACATACAGTTTTGTCTTCAGTGTGGTTGGAACAGGCCAGATTGCGTCTCTGTTGTCAGCATACAGTTGACAGTGTTGGAGCACATGCTCAGCATTTTCGGGTGCCACGCTGCAGGGACACGTCTCCGTATTTCCTACACCGAAAAATTTGAACATATGTTGACGAAATCTGTTGTGCCCTGTCCTTAGTCTGAATATAATACACTGTCTCTCTCTAGAGAGGCGATGAAGTGAGTCTTGGGGAAAAAATCTGGTGTGGGTATCCAGCCACCTTTCTTGGATACTAGCTTGTATTAGTGTTTTCATCTCTTGGTGGGTTAAGTCGCTATTTGGTTGTACTATGTCACTGCCGCTTCTGGCCAATCTGTCCGCTATTTCATTGCCTTCCAAGCCACAGTGACCTGGAATCCACTGCAGTACATATTGTTCTACTGAAGAGCCTAAGCAAATCAGCTGTTGCGTCAAGTCTACAAACTGAGTGTCTTTTGGGTTAACAATTGCTTGTAGAACTGACATAGCATCAGTCAGAAAGACCACTCTGCTATATTTGCTGTGCTGTTGTCCATTCAAAAAAGAACATGCCGCTAGAAGTGCTTCTGCCTCTGCTCTATAATTGGAGGAATATGAACCTGTTGGTACAGCCTGGTTGATTTTTAAACCATTTGGGCATTCTATGTATATTCCTCCTCCTCCGTCTCTTACTGCTCTCTTGGCTGAGCCATCTGTATACACTCGAATCCAACTCTGGTGTGGATAAAGTCTATTGATCTCTCCTTCTGTAGTTGATTTCATATCAGTGCTCCTCATTGATGATTTGGAGGAGACCCCTGTTAGAGTGGTTCTGACTGTTGGTAGGCTATCCCTAAGCCAAGCGGGGCAGTCGTTGTAAGGTTTAATTGGAACATTTGGTATTATGGGAGGGAGTTTAAGGAAAGCGAGCTTGGCATTTGCGTTCTTGATAAAACATAGAAAACACTGATTAAATGATAAAATATTCATATAATTGCATTATTATATATTTTTTTAGTGTAACAAATTTAGCTTTCTGCGCCATTCTGACACCAAAGGAATTAAGCACATAAATTACGCTTTTAAAACTTGTGACGAGACTTCGAAATAACATAGGACACTCATAACTCGTACCGACACTTTTGGTGCAACAGTTGTGGTCTCATTCAGAATTTCCGTAAAAATACAGGAAACCTGTCTTGTCTTGTCTTGTCTTGTCCACAATTGCCTCACAGCGTAGTGGGAAGTCGCAGTTTTCTATCCTGGGCCAGGTGTGTTGCATGTGTTGTTGTTAGTCCGTGTTGCCTCAGGATCTCTGATATATTGTCTATCCATCGTACTCTCGGTCTGCCTCTTGCTCTAGGGCAGTAGTGTTGTTCGTTGTATGCTCGTAGAGGCAGTTGGTCGGTTTGCATTCGCATCAAGTGGCCAAACCACTCGATTTGTTGCTTCTTTATGTACTGCAGGCATGGTGTGGTTCCTACAATTGATCTAATGTTCTCGTTTCGAACTCTGTCTCTCCTTGTGACATTGGCAGCCTTACGTAAGCATCTAATTTCGCACGTCGTGATCTTTTTCTCCTGTGCTCTTGTTAGGGACCAGGTTTGGCATTGGTAGCAGAGGGTTGGTATAAATATGCAATTTATCAGTTGTCGTTTTAGTGCCATAGTGATGCTTGGGTGTTTTAGCAGTGGGGAGAGTTGGTAAGTTACTGCGTTCGCCTTTTGACATCTTGCCTCAAGTTCCCTATCAATTCTTCCATCATCTGTGAAGATGCTTCCCAAGTATTTAAATTGCTGCACTTGTTTGAGTTGTTCGTTGTTAACTTGAATAGTTAGTATATTAGGTGTTCTACTTATTTTCAGAATTTCTGTTTTGGTGATGCTGATCTTCATGTTATATTCGTTGCAGACTGTGTGTAGCGCATTTACGTGGATTTGAAGTTCTTTTCACAGGAAACCTGTGCTTTTGTGAAAGACGACTGATTGTTTAAATTAGAACTTTTTGCTGCATAACTTTTAAAAGACTATCCAGCAAAGATCATTGTGAATTTATATACTTTGAATACGCAAAAAAAGGATACTAATTACTTGTTATTACTGCTCAAAATAGGACATATCGTTGAGAATGAAGTAAATATAAATACATAATTTCATCACTACAGCTGAGATATCATTTTTGAACAATGGCACGAATTTGTTAACACACTATAGTTAGCTGGAGCCGCCGTGATATAACGGCTAGAGGCTTTCTTGTGGATCGGAAGGTCGTGGGTTCGTCCCCTGACGAGGACTGGACGTTTTTCAAAAAAGACATTGGCTCCCAGCCTTGGTGGGTGCCAGGTACAATCCTGGAAAGTAGATGCGGCCGACGTTATGCTTACCACATCAACTACCAAGTGCCGTTTGGTCTAAAAAAATATAGGTCTAGCCCTATATGTCTGTTACGCTTGGAAAAGGGTCCTTTACTTCTATTTGTTTACTATAGTTAGCTAAGGGACTCGAATAATAGTGAACAATTTGTCAGTCCCAGCAAAATACCCCACCCTAAAATGGGTAACAACAGAAATTATCCTGTGTCCAGGAGACCGGAATGATGTTAACCACATCACCCACCGTGTGCCAGCCGGACCGGCAATATGTTAACCACATCACCCACCGTGTGCCAGCCGGACCAGCAATATGTTAACCACATCACCCACCGAGTGCCAGCCGGACCAGCAAGATGTTAACCACATCACCCACCGTGTGCCAGCCGGACCAGCAATATGTTAACCACATCACTCACCGAGTGTCGGCCGGACCAGCAATATGTTAACCACATCACCCACCGAGTGTCGGCCGGACCGGCAAGATGTTAACCACATCACCCACCGTGTGCCAGCCGGACCAGCAAGATGTTAACCACATCAGACACCGTGTGCCAGCCGGACCGGCAAGATGTTAACCACATCACCCACCGTGTGCCAGCCGGACCAGCAATATGTTAACCACATCACCCACCGAGTGTCGGCCGGACCGGCAAGATGTTAACCACATCACCCACCGTGTGCCAGCCGGACCAGCAAGATGTTAACCACATCACCCACCGAGTGTCGGCCGGACCAGCAAGATGTTAACCACATCACCCACCGAGTGCCAGCCGGACCAGCAAGATGTTAACCACATCACCCACCGAGTGCCGACTGGTCTATAGAAATTTGAATTTAGCATTGTGCGTTGTTTGCCCTATGCGCCACTGGCATATATAAGGTCCTTTACCTTTCCCCTTTTCAACTTTGCACCTTTAGGTTCGTGACCTGGAAGCTGAACTGGAAGCTGAGAACAGACGTGTCCGGGAGGCAGTAGCCAATCAGCGCAAGGCCGAACGTTTCTACAAGGAGCTGCAGACCCAGACAGAGGAAGAGAGGAAGCAACTGGTTGAACTGCAGAGCTTGAACGAACAGCTGAGCATTCGTCTGAAAACTTACAAACGACAGAT